TAGCTACGCCACCACCACTTTTGGATTGTCTTTTTTTAGATAAGAATGTATATCCGGGAATATTTGTTACTGAGTGGACTATCATCGTTTTTAAGCCAAGATTCAGAAATGGCAATAACATCAAATTCAAATTCAAGTGTTAGAAGAAAACATCTTAAAGAGTCCATCTTACCCAAGAGACTACGTGCATTGAAATGAATACTAGAAAAAAGGTCATCATTATTTAATTTAGAAAAAGTATCAGCAAACTGACTTGGATGAAAATAACTTGATTCATTTATACTATCACTATAAAATTGAAAGTCCGGATCTACATCTTCATTATTGATGATGTTTTCGTAGGCCAGGAAGGGGTTAAATTTTAAATCGGATAGAGTATTTAAATTTTCGGCATCTAAGCTATTAGGAGTTGGCATGGCGGGGGAGTATGTACATAAATTCGCTCAACTTTTACACTTATTTTTAAATCGTATGCATTCAATGCTAGCACGAAGATAGAAAAAGGTGAGTATATGTACTTTGGAATATAGATAAAGTGTACATCATCCATATGTATAATATCAATTGATAGCATTTAACATGATAGTATATAATATTGTAACAGTAGATGCCAAAATAAAAAAAAAAAAAATAAATAAATAAGAGATAACATAATAATAATAATAGTAATAATAATAATAATAATAATAATAATAATAATAATAATAATAATAATAATAATAATAATAATAATAATACTACACACAATAAAAGCACATGGTTCGTAAATAAGTTCGGGCTACTTAATGTGCTATAACAAAAAAAGATACGGTAAGCCATTGCTCCGTCAGAGAAATATTAAGTAGAAGTATAGATAAAGTTAATTTTAATCATAATTAATATTATGACATGCTACAAATTAAGTGACAATAGCTAAGGAGTTAAAAGAATAGACAATGTCTACCTAGGAGTGGAACAAACCGTTGATGTACAAGTTTCCGTTACGGAAAGACGGCCTTTTACCCTCACTATAGGCTAGGGCCATTGTGTCTTTTAGACTTCGTTTTTTTGCAAGATCCGCTTCGCAAAGATCATCGGTAACAAATAAGTTACTGTTTTTTAGTAATGCCCTTGCCTTCGTAAAGACTTGATGACGTTGGTGCCGGTATATAAACTTGGCAACAATATGCTTTGGCTTATCGTTCGGTGCACGGGGTTTACCTGTCCGGTGGGCGTTCTCAATCATAACTTCCGGGATATTTAACTTATTTTGGATCAAATCTTTAATCTTCTCGACAGCATTTTCGTTTCTTTCCTCCGGTAAGCCACCAAAACGCAAATTAAATGATCTTGAATATCTTTCGAACTTGTTGAGTTGTTTTTGCAGCGACATACAGCTTGATTTTTCGGTTTCCACAGTAGACGATACTTCTTTAAGCTCAGCAGCTAAATTATCCATTTTCGTTTCTATTTCAGAGATGGAATTGCTTGCAAATTCAATTGATTCTTCCAATTGAGTCTGTTTGTTTTCAATTTTGTCCATCCTTCCTAATATGGTATGTTGGTTAGTTAAGACAGTGTCCAGCTGTCCACGAATACCAAGCAAGTCCGTTGATAGCTGTTGAATTTCGCGCTTCAGTGCTTCCGTACTAGCGGCGGCAGAAGCTTTAGACGGCGGAAGCGACTCGGGTGATTGTGGGCCTACGTCTGTTGGCTGCTTTTTTTTTACCATCTCCTGTATTATTTTTTTTACTTTAATAATAATCAATTCTAAAGTTCGGAATACACTTACAGTTCGGATCGTATATCGTTGGCTACGATAGTATTTTAGTAACGTTCTGTATATTTATGACGGAGCTAGCTACTGACGTCTGTTCACTCAGCCATTCCACTTTCCACTAAAGTGATAAGATACCAATTTAGTCTTCAAAGAGAATTCCTCAATGTTAGCTAGACCTCTTTGCGCTATCATTAATTCCAGTCTGCGAGAAAGTTTTGTTCCCCAGGCTTGGAAGTGTGTGCAGATGTAATCCCGGTGCCCAAGGTGTATTGAAACTGATATACACCCCATATCTCTAACCCCCACCGTTGCTAAAGTAGCAGAATCATTAATTGGTGAACTCTTATGGTTTGAAATTAAAGAAAAAAAATTAATAGTAATCAATTCGTTTGCATTAAAGGTGTATCCATTACCAGGGCATTAAAATTGTTAACTACTACTAAATTGCTAGCGATAACCCTCAGTCCTACAGCCTCATATAGACACTATCTGCAACGGATGTAATTCTAGAATCTTTTTTTCTTAAACAACTTAAGAGGGCTTGGCTATTTCATGAAGCCATATTAAGGTATTACATGCAAGAGGCCAAAATTTGAATATTCAGCCCCAGCATGGGGCACAGGTATTAAGGTATTAATGAAGGTCAGAGTTACCAACTGGAAAAATTCTAGAAGCGCCCTCTAAAAATTATTTATAATCATTCATCGTATAATGAAGTTCTAAAGCTGGCTAATCTTACAACACTAAAAGAGAGAAGAGTTAACAGTTGCAGGGGATATTTTACCAAAGTGAAACACCCAAACCATCCCCTAAATCATCTACTGCCCAATATTGTCCACAAGCCTTATAACCTTCGTACGAAAAGACAATATAAATTACGGTACCGTCGGTAAAAACTAAATGATCAATCAATTAATCAACCAATCAATGGTTTTATAAGGCGCATAATACAGCAGTCTCAATGCACCAATAAAAAAAGACCAATGAAAGTGAAGCAAGCAAGCGAAGTGGGTACGAGACCAGGTGCCGTTAGGGTAGAGTCATAGTATGCCGTTCGGGAAGAGTCATAGTATGCCGTTCTTCCGCAATTTGAGGGCCTGCCGACCGACCCCGCGGAAACATAATTCATAGGATCACCGTGCCAGCCCATTCCCTGACAACACCTGAAAACCACCCACTTAAGAAAACAATAATTAAATAAAATGCCCAATAAAATTATGAGTAAGCTGAGTCAAAGAGATGTAATTTCAGTCGTTTTTTAAAAAGAATTTTATTCCAAATTTTGGTGTGTTTTCTGAATGGTAGGCCTACAATATCCCATGGTCATGGTATACTTTAACGCCTGTATGACCACATTTTTATATTATGCGACAACTGCTTTCCTTGGCTCACTCTTTACCTCACTCTTTACTTTCCTGATGTCTTTATTTTCTTTAAAACAATTGTAGTGTCCTGTTTATTTTTCTGTAATTTTCCACTTTTTTACTTCCCCTTTCACTTGTGTAATCTCTTTTTTGTCTCTTCTAATTTTATATAGGCCCTCATCAATTTTTTTGATCTGTACAATGTAATTTTTGTAATTTATTATTCTGAATTTGAATGTTTTTATATATTGTGCAATTATTTTCTTTTGTAATTATTTTTCAGAATTTCAATGTTCTTTGTTTTGTCTCTTTGAATTTCAATGCTTTTAAATATTATTGTTCTTAAATATTTGTATACAATCATTTTTTAATGTATGAGTAATATATAATATTTACCATTTAATATCATCCAAATGATGTATATTCATTTGTAAATAAATTCAATTGAATTAAATTGAATATAATTAATGTATATTATTGTGCGTGGAGGTGGGTGTATTTATATTGTGGTTAAATATACTGATAATGATACAGGTCCTGTCTTGACTATTACAGTCAGAGCGATTGGTTCCTTTTGGAATGTATTTCAATTATTATTTTTATTAATTAATTTATCGTAGATTGTGTGTGAATCTTTTAATAACACAAATGTGACCAAGTCTGAACAGTCAACGCGCGTGAACGACAATTGTCTTCAAGAAACAATCAGGAAAACGCAATGGAAACTTTGAACAAGATTAAGGACACACATGAACTCGTGCTTTATAACGAGGCGTGCAAAGCTTTTCCAAGACCTGCACCACCTCCAGTTGGCCAAGAGGTCGATCTGAACGAGTTCTTTTCCCCAGAACTGAAAGACATCTACCCTGGATTCGATGCTGTGATACGTCTTGATGAATATGTTGCAAAGGTATTTAGAGAAACCATTAAGCTACTGGTACAAATCACATCCTGCCACCTCCAAATGTATAAACATTTTGGATAAAGTATGCCCCTTTCATAGGTTAAAAATACTTTCATATGTGCATACATACATGTACATACATTAAAATAAAGAACAAATATATGAAAATTAATTTCATACCTCCATGCGTACATTACACCAGCACCATATGTTGTTACTGGTGCAGGGGGCGGATCTAGAGAATTTTTGACGGGGTGGGGGACACACACAAAAAAAGCTAACACCGCCATGCCTAACTCAGCCCTACCATGGTTGGACGTAAATAAGTAGTAAATAATCGAGCTCCCTTTTCACCCACTGCTGGCACCGCTGAACTCAGGGTATTGACAAACTGCGAGTCAGCGAGACATGCAAGCCATCTACCCTAGTGACCTCGTCAACTGAAATTCATGCATTCATGCGAGGCAGGACGAAGATATAGCTTCCCTATTGTACCAAAAGTGCGAGGCACATTAAAAAACGCTACAAATCCGTAAAAGTTACAATGACAATATTTTAATATAAATTATGATGTTCATATGACCTTCTCAGGCCAACTCAGACAGCGTCATACGACACAGCAGGAAGCGATTCATCGTCAAGGACAGTCTTGAGCCGTCGTGAGAAATAAGCCTATTAAACATGTTTAATATTCTGCGACGCGACTGCCCCCGACGCAAACCTATGGCGGTTCAACTGTGTCATAATTACTACACGTACTACGCGTACTACGCGTACTACGCATACTACACGTACTACGCGTACTACGCGTACTACACGTACTACGCGTAGTACACTACTACGCGTACTACGCGTGGTATTATGACACAATTGTACCACTCACGGCAAAATTGTGTCAAAACACCACGTGTTAGCATCATGACCATAAACCAATTAGTTGTATAGCGCCACCAATTTACTGTACGTATAACACAAAGATCTTATAAACACAAGATAGCGTTATCCGCGATTTACGCGTAACAAATAGAAGCGTCGGTCAAGGTTCAAAAGTTTCCAATTTAGCAAGAGGGCGCCATTCATGCGCTATTATACCAAAGAGAAAAAGTAATCAGCTTTGGAAGAGGGCGTCCGATTCAGCCGAGACGGCCCGAGTGGAGTTTCATGTAAATGTTTCGTACGGAAAAAAAAAAGTCGAGCGGTCAAGGGTCAAAAGTTTCCAATTTAGCAAGAGGGCGCCATTCATGCCTTATTACAGAATTTGCACGCGTAAATCGCGGAGAACGCTATCTTGTGTTTATAAGATCTTTGGTATAACATCTAATATCAAAGAGTATTTCATTGTCGGTCTTGGGACCGTTACTTTTCATAATATATGTTAATGACTTGTGTAGAATTAGTGACACCCTCGAGTTGGTGTCCTTCGCCGATGATACTACGTTTTTTTACTCTAATGAAGACCTTAATGTTTTATTC